ACTTGTTCACAAAGTTGGGCAAATTCTTGCAGTGCTAATATTTTAGCACATGATCAAGCTCCTTTTTTTGTCTTGGACAGAGAATGAATACACACACACGCACACATACTTCTGAAGGCCACAAGGGACATGCCTGGTAATGAAATGATGTCATCAGATGCTAAGCCCACATAGCTGACAAACTCAAGAAGCAAGGACTGCATGAATTTCAGAGAGGCATCTTTAATGCACATAAAAATGTAATCTTGAAAATTGTAACAGTAAATTCTCAGGCAAGCCAATTAATGGAAAGTCTCTGAAGCTTTCCTTCCCATGGACTACACCTCTGGGCTCTGGTTCCTCTTTTCATACCCACCCACACCCACTCGTCCTCCCCTCACCCTTTTCCCACAGTCTCTCACATTAGGTTGCTAGGCATGATTAAGGGGATTGGGAGCAGGGTTCTTCTCTAGCACAGTAGAAGAGTCCTTATGAACATCTAGTGTATGGGATGTATAGCTAAGTAATATTTTTCAATTGTCATGTTTTCTCCTGAAGAACCTCAGATATGATAGGGGTAGGAAGTATTCACACTTCCCCCTAAGTCCAAACTTGGGATATTTGCTAATATACCTCAGACTAGTTTTAGTTTGTTCTGTTTGTTTATTTGTATGTGTATGTTTCAGTAAGTGAATATAGTTTTAATCTTTTAGCCTGTTCCTGCATAATCCAATTTTGGATTGTTCACACCTAAAATAAATACACTGCAAATGTGTCCACTGTTTTTGAGTATTAGGATGAGATGAGATGTAGGCTTCTAAATCTGTTACCTGTGTACCTTTTTAAAGTTATATAGTCTACTTTTATTGGTAGTGGAAAACCACAATTCCAGGTATTTTTCTGTACGAGTGAAGTGGAAATCAATGAGAAGGAACAAAAGTACTGCTGACAGATGCCAATTCTCCCATAGAACCAGGGCTACGTGAAAAAGGAGTATTTTTGATGTTTACAATAATTTTATTCCCCTACCTAAGTATATTGAATTAAAATCCTATACACTGAAATATTGAAAGGGTTTTTGGGGAGGGGGGCAGTGGTAGTCAATCTTATGCATTCATTGGATGCATGGTTATGCTAATACAAGAAGAAATCTTGAAGAAGGTTTCTATACATACATACATTTAAAAACATAGCCTTTGTTTAAAATGGACCTTACATCTCTGTGCTTGAATGCCTTCACTAGAAATGTCAATTTGGATTCATGCTGTACCAAACACTTTCTAGTGTAGGCTGGGCTTCTTCTTTCTTCTGTTGTGTGCTTTTAAATATCAGAAGTTCACTGCCTCAGGGAATCCCCTCATTGAAAATTAAAGCTGACTATGATGAGTAATGACATATCATGCTCTCCCTTGGGATGACTGCAAAGAAGTGCAGCAGCCACACACACTTTCATTTCCTTTCTCTGGGTGGCAATATAACATGCAGTCACAAAAAACTTTTAACCCTGTTTCTTTGCAGTGAATAAGTAAAAGAGATGATACACTGAGAACCCCATGGTGTAATGATTATAATGCTGGACATAGATCAGGGAGACCCAGTTCAAATCCTTGCTTAGCAACCATACATCACATTGTTTCTTTTATGCTATCCTTCTTATACCATTCAATCCACACAAATCAATGGGAAGCCAAATACTGTTCCCTTTGATACGAAAGGTAGCTAGAAGTACACTGCCAGTTATTGTTCAGCTTATAATTATTGGGGTCAATTGTTCCATTAGGCTTCTATGCCTTTGGCCTAAGTCAAGTGTAATAATGATGCCAATTTGGTTTTCATTATTTTTGTATTTTCCAATTGCTTTTATTTAATCATATGTTATATCTAGTCTTCTATATTTATTGAGCTTTTAGAAGATCTAGAAGTAATCTAGATTACTATTAATTTCTATGCTGCTGAAGTATTTCACTTTTAGCAAGAAGTAACTGGACTTGCTGAATGACTGGGCAACATCATTCTCCCTGTCTATAGCTCTTTTATGCCATAAGCATATTCAGGTTACACTTTCATGGTCTACAAAGATAGGAATGACATTAGCAAAAAAATTTCCAGTGTCTCTATGCAACCTCACGGGTTCTTAGCCCAGGAGGTTTTTGTTCTCTTTTCTGAACAGAGGAGAGAAAAGGCTGTCAACCACAAAAGAATTCGACAAGGCTCTCTGACATAACTACACCCACAGTCATCCTCTGCTGATTTCCTGTATTGGTGTGGTTACCAGTTACAGCTGACTACACCACCCCCATAGAATTCCATGGAATAAATGATCACTCATGGCTATATTGAGGGAGATAATGTTTTGTGAAATACTTAACGGGGACAGATGAATTGTAGATAGGACATTGGATGGGAAATACTTAAATCATCTTAGATGCCTCTATATTGTGGCAAAATGATCCAGGTGTTGAGCAGAGTGCAGCAATACTCCTATTGTGCAGAGTGCAGCAATACTTCCAGGAAAAATTGCTCAGGAAAAATACACATCAGCATGAAAGATTGACAAAATGCAATGTCCATTTCTTGTCCCCCAAAGAAATCCAGCCAGAAAATATATACTAACTGGTGTTTATTGATAAAAAATGCAAAACTCCATAAAATGTTTCTTGTCCCCCAAAGAAATCCAGCCAGAAAATATATACTAACTGGTGTTTATTGATAAAAAATGCAAAACTCCATAAAATGTTTCTTGTCCCCCAAAGAAATCCAGCCAGAAAATATATACTAACTGGTGTTTATTGATAAAAAATGCAAAACTCCATAAAATGCAAATATCATACAAAATATAGGAAAAACACGTCTTCTCATGTATTTTAGCATCCAAGACTTATCAACAACATAAGCTTAACAAAGTCTCTATCTAAAAACTCTCAGAGAAGAGGTACACTACTTGGTTATTAGTTACAACTACATAACCCATAAAAACTGACTACATGGTGGCTAAAACTCTACTAAAACTCTACTGAGAGGCTT